GAAGTCTTTTCAAATCAGTAATTGGAGACACTCAAACCCACGCTCTGTAGTGACACAGATGATACAAAAAAATAAGCTTTGATTTGGGCTGGATAACAGAAATGTAACAAGGTAATAAAAACGAAATCATTTTTAAACAAAATTAAATATTGTACTGAAGCAATGTGTAGGGAACAATTGATTAATGGAGGGAAATTAAGAATTGGAAGAGGTTTTACCAAGACATGAGCAATCCCTTAAAAACCTTAAAGGTTTTTAAGAAGCAGCCAAACTCCAAGACAACAGTTCCAACCTTCTTGGACCAAGAAGTTTCACCAGAGACATTCCAAGGTCCCTCCCAACTTTTCCATTTTTATAACTCCACGTCCCTGCCAGGGTTTCAGACCAGGGGTATCAGCACAGGACAGGGATGTGTTGATGCACCCAAAAATTAACCAAGAGCAGGAAAGAAAACTTAAAATGCTTTTTGTAACTTTGAGTCCAGCAGGCTCCACCCTTCAAAAGGAATTGGGCAGAAGTTGCAGAGAGACACAACTGAGCTCAGTGGAAGGCTTTGTTTGCAAAAATTGCCATGAAAATAGAAAATAAAAAGGAAAATATTAGGGGTACTGCCTTCAGCAATATAGGAAAAGTACATTGGCAGCTACTGGTGTGGCTCTTTCAAAGCTTAAAGCATGAGGACATTGAGTTAAATTAATAAATGGATAATCAAGATCCATAAAAGAACAGGTTCCCTTCTTCCTCAAGATTTCATTAATGAAATAGGAAGATAAAAAAAAAAACTTAGGGAGACTCAGCAGCTCTGTGTACAATATAGAAAAACTCAGAATTGTTAGAAACAGAAATCAAAAGTATTTTGTAAAAATCAGATACTAAACCGAACCTAATGATCAGACACTGGAATGATAATTTAAATGTGAAAAAAATTAACTTTCTTCAGTCTTCTAGATAGCTCTTACCTCATCTTTGGAAGCATTTGATCTCAGGTACTGAAAGGTCCTCTCCATGAGGTGGAGATCAGATATTAACAAGCAAGTTTCAAAATACACATCAAATTAACTGCACAGGCAAATTTTTCTCCTGATTTTGAGTTTCTCATTGCAGGATCCTACATTTTGCATATTTGCAATGTTTAAAATGTGAAAGCTGGCACACAAATACCTTCAGATCTAAGACTGGATAATTCAGGGCAAGAAAATCTTGAATAATTAAGGCCAAGGACCCCTGAAAGGGCACAAATCTATTTCACCTGAGAGCTGCCAGAACCACCTGGATTTATTTTGCCATTTCATAAATGTTGGAAGGGAAAATGGGAATGCTTTGTGAGAAAGTGATGAATTTCAAGAACAGTAATGGGAAAGTTTGGAACATCCTGTTAACAGTGTAAGAGGCACTTCCTCTGGAGTTAAACTTGATGTTAGTCTTAATATATTTAATATCCTGAAATATTAAATATTCATGATCTGTGGTAGTGCTGGTTGGAGAATGATGGGGTTATTTTATAACAGCTTTTAAGGCTTGGATTCTTTTTCCACCATGCATTAGAATGCAGAGTAAAAAAGAGGAAAAGGGTGAACCAACCTCCTGAATATTTCACAGAGCACAAGAGTGTGCAGAGGACACACCTTCTCCACCTCACCTCTGTTCCCCTGTCCTTTTTCTCTCCACTCTCCTGTCCCACACACAGCTCCCTTTGAAACAGTTTCAAAGGTGATAAAACTTTAGGCAGGTTTTTGCTTTGAATAAATGTATTTTTTCGTTGAAATTATCCAATCCAATTAAAGTATGTCATAAATTTAACAGACTGTTATGTCATTATCATGAAAAACCCAGAAATCAATTTTAAATGTTTCCTGGAAATGAGCATATAATCAATTCAATTTAGTGGGAAGGCTTATGGATGAGCTTAAATATGAATTTTAGAAATGGCATTAGATTTGAAATGGAAACTTCAGCTGAGAAATCTATTACATCATTTATATTTCAGAATTTATATTTAATCCATTTATAGCATCCCCAACACCTGAGTACTGCCTTTGTTTTTAAACTGGGAATTTTGCTGCTCTGGGAAGACAATGCCACAGCTCAGATTTCCAGAGACTGGGCTGGAAAAAGTGGCAAGTGGAAGAATATTGAATAAACAGTGCATTAAAAAAAATTAAAAATAGTAAATGTATGCCCAGGGGAAAAACCTGCCCTGCAGAAACAGAGCTGAAAAAAGGAATTATCAATATTATATCATATTGATTATCAGTATGATATTGAATTATCAATATCAATATTGGCTAGGACAGATCCTCCCTGAGAGTCAGGGACTGTGGAAGGGCAGGTTCATGGGTGCCCCAGGGTGTCCTGAGAAATGTGGGAATTCACCAGTCCTAAGGAATTCCTCAGGATTCTGGAAACAGAACAGCTGCTCATGGCAAACTGATTTAAATGCTGCAAGTACACCATGAGTCTGCCTCTTACAGAACCCTGGCCTAAATGTTTTAAGCTTGAGACCTATAATATAAAGCTGAATATTGGGCATGAATTCCCTTCCCTTTGCACTTCTGTTGCAAGACTAGAAGTTATTTCTGCTTGTTGAAAAGTTTATTATCCCTTTCTTGTGCCCAAGACAGGCTGTTCTCTCCCAGGCTGACCTCATCAGAGAGGTGGTTATCCAAATCACACTGAAATAAAATCAATTTATTCCACCTAGCTAAAGCTGAGGGTTTAGCTATGCCATCAGAAAAAGAAAAAAAGAAAAGGTCAGACAGGTTATCCACCTCCAAAGCACAAGATCTGCTTCTGGGGAAATGGGATAAGCTGAAAGAATGGAAGAACAATAAAATCCTAGAGGTAAACTCCAGAAATGTAAAATAAATCCTTTCTAAAGTCACTTCAGTTGTGTCTGAGCCCAGGGCTGCTCCCACTGCTCTGCCTGTGAGTGCCTCTGGGCCAGCCTCGCGTGCGTGCACACACCTGCAGCCACAGAGCATTTCCCTGCCCCCTGGGGCAGATTAGACCATGCTAGAATAATTTCCATCCTCAGAGATTCCTTCTGATGGAGAAAAAAACCCAGTTCTGCTCAGTTTCATTTCTCCCTCTCAGCTGCAGCCCCTCAGGAAACTCCAAAGTGCTCGTGCACCTCCCTGAGCCCACGTCAAAGGCGTGAGGACATTTATCTTGTCACTCCCTTGGATCACTTTGGCTTCTCCAGATTCCTCTCTTTAGGATGTTTCCCCTGCCTCTAAACCATTCATTCTCATCCTCATGCCTCAGGTTTTGGCTTTATATTTTCAGGTTCTGTGCTGCTTTAGTGTGTGGGTCTGGGTTCACATCAGGGGATGCTGAGCTCTGGGCACAGAGCAGGGAGACAAAACAATTCCTGCTCCAGCTGGGCACCAAGGACAAATGATCCAAATCTCAGCCCAGGAGCACAAACCCCGTGGGCTGGAGAGAGAAAAACAAGGATGGGACTGCAGGGGCTAAAGCTGGAATGGGACAATGAACTGCAAGATGCAAATGGAGCAGAACTGATCCAAGGGAGAGACCCTGGGAGCGCTCGGGCATTTGTGACCATTTTGGTTCACCTTGGGTTCATTTTGGGACCATTTTGGTCCACCTTGGGTTCATTTTGGGACCATTTTGGTTCATCTTGGGTTCATTTTGGGACCATTTTGGTCCACCTTGGGTTCATTTTGGGACCATTTTGGTCCATCTTGGGTTCATTTTGTGACCATTTTGGTCCCCTTGGGTTCATTTTGGGACCATTTTGGTTCATCTTGGGTTCATTTTGGGACCATTTTGGTTCATCTTGGGTTCATTTTGGGACCATTTTGGTCCACCTTGGGTTCATTTTGTGACCATTTTGGTTCATTTTGGGTGCAGCCCTGGCTGGGCTCTTGCACTGCCCAAGGTGCATCCATTGAGGAGATGCTTTGAATGAATCCCTGCTTTATTCTGTAGCTCTGCCCAGCCTCTGTTGCAGGTCAGCCTTCCCAAGGCATCACTCCCTGTCCCTGTCAGGGTTTCTCAGCAGTGATTTTCCCTGCACTGATGAAGGTGGGGCTGCAGGAATCTCTGTGTGTGTGTGTGTGTGTGGAAATTCTTCTTATGCATGTGGAAATTTCTTGGGAAATGCAGCAGCAGCTTGAGTGGCACAGTTGGCAAACACACCCAGAATCAGCAACTGGGAACAGCCAAAATGTTGCTGTATCAAGGATGTGTGCAGTTGGCACAGCTGAAAAATTTCACTCTGGTGTTTTTTCAATTTCAAAACTCCACTACGTGTCAAATATTTCATTTATAAACAGAGGTCACTAAAACAGAAATAAAAATATCCTCACCCACAACCCAAACTACGTAAGAAACAATTGAAAATCAGATATTTCAATGCAGCAATTTTGTTCCTGGTTTCCTTTGGTTCCAACATAAGAAACCAGTGATTTTTTTAGATCCTCCCTCCAGATCTGTGTCTCTTTTCCTCTCTCAGTGTAGCTGATTGTTCCCAGATTCTACTCAGAGCTGAGGCTGACACCACTCCAGGAGCAGCTTCTCCCTCTCCCTGCTCCCAGGACTGAGTGGAATTCACTCAAAAAGTGCTAAATATTTTTATTTTTCCCCATAATATTCCTGTCTTGGTCCCTCTCTGAGTGCTTTCATTATTTCTGCTCTTGGCATTCAATCTGTATTTTTAAATTCTCTTTTTATGTGCATTAAAACTCTCAGTGACTCTCTCGTGGGACTGAGAGTTTTGAATCCTGACAGTTTGGGGCAAAATCCAAATTTTGCAGAATTTTTGCACAGAAATCAACACAATCTGGTTTCTTTCCAATAAATCTCATTGCTAAATTAACAACAAGAAAACAAAACCGCCCAGCCTCACCTAGGAGAATTAGAGAAAAAAGCAAATAACGAAACCAAAAGGAACAAAAAACTGCAAACAAATCTTAATTACAGATCTTCACACATGTGAAATTCTCCTGTTCTGGTGGAAATAAATATTTCAGGCTCACCTTTCCAGTGGATTTGGTGCCTTTCCAGATGCAGAAATAGCAAATAGTCCAAGCAGCCAGGAGGCACAGGGCGAGCTCCCAGCGCAGGTTCCCAATGTGCTCAATCCCATCGGAAATTGCCAGCACCCTCCGTCTTCCATGGGGAAAAAAGAGGGGGAAAAAATCAGAATATTGAGCAAAAACAGCACTACATGGGAAATGTGGTGGGATAGAAGTGAATTAACTACAAAAAAAAAATAGAATATTGAGCAAAAACAGCACTACATGGGAAATGTGGTGGGATAATACTGAATTCATTACAAAAAAATTAGAACATTGAGCTAAAATGGTGCTACATGGGAAATGCTGGGATAAAAAGCTAATTAATTACAAAAAAAAATAGAATATTGAGCTAAAACAGCACTACATGGGAAATACTGGGATAGAAGTGAATTAATTACAAAAAAAAAATTAGAATATTGAGCAAAAACAGCACTACATGGGAAATACTGGGATAGAAGTGAATTATTACAAAAAAAAAATTAGAATATTGAACAAAACAGCACTACATGGGAAATACTGGGATAAAAAACTAATTAATTACAAAAAAAAATAGGATATTGAGCTAAAACAGCACTACATGGGAAATGCTGGGATAAAAGTGAATTCACTACCAAAAAAAGATTATAATATTGAAGAAAATAACATTGTATATGGAATACTGGGATAAAAGTGAATTAATTACAAAAAAATTAGAATATTGAGCTAAAACAGCACTACATGGGAAATACTGGGATAAAAGTGAATTAATTACAAAAAAAAAATAGAATATTGAGCTAAAATGGTGCTACATGTGAAATGCTGGGATAAAAGTGAATTAATTACAAAAAAATTAGAATATTGAGCAAAAACAGCACTACATGGGAAATACTGGGATAGAAGTGAATTCACTACCAAAAAAGATTATAATATTGAAGAAAATAACATTGTATATGGAATACTGGGATAAAAGTGAATTAATTACAAAAAAATTAGAATATTGAGCTAAAATGGCTCTACATGTGAAATGCTTGGATAAAAGTGAATTAATTACAAAAAAAATTAGAATATTGAGCTAAAACAGCACTGCATGGGAAATACTGGGATAAAACTGAATTCACTACCAAAAAAAGATTATAATATTGAAGAAAACAGCATTGTATATGGAATACTGGGATAAAACTGAATTAATTATGAAAAAATTAGAATATTGAGCTAAAACAGCTCTACATGTGAAATATTGGGATAAAAGTGAATGAATTACAAAAAAAAAGATTATAATATTGAAGAAAACAGCATTACATATGAAAAATCAGGATAAAACTGAATTAGTTACAAAAAAATTAGAATATTGAACTAAAACAGTGCTGCATGTGAAATGCTGGGATAAAAGTGAATTAATTACAAAAAAAGATGATAATACAGAAGAAAACAACATTATATATTGAATACAGGGATAAAACTGAATTATTTATTAAAAAAATTTAACATTGCACTAAAACAGCACTACATGTGAAATGCTGGGATTAAAGTGAATTAATTACAAAATAAAAGAGATTATAATATTGAAGAAAACAACCTTGCATATGGAATACTGGGATAAAAGTGAATTAATTACAAAAATACATTAGAATATTGAGGTAAAACGGCGCTACGTGTGAAATGCTGGGATAAAATGAAATTAATTATAAAAAAAGAAGATTATAATATTGAAGAAAATGGCATTGCATATGAAAACAAGATAAAATTGAAATAATTACAAAATTTAGAATATTGAGGTAACACAGCACTATGTGTGAAATGCTGGGATAAAACTGAATTAATTACAAAAAAAAAGATTATAATATTTGAGGAAAACCAGCATTACTTGTGAAACAATGGGTTGAAACTGAATTAATTTGATTAAATGACTGCTCTTTCCTCACTACTGAAAATACCCTGTGCTACAGTAGAAAGAGAGATAAAACAGAATATTCCAGGTATTTTGTATCTGGTTATAAATGAACAAATGTTTCATTTTTTCAAGCCAGTGACAAAATTTTAATTTTAGAACAACTTTTCTTTAAAGTCAAAGAAAAAGAAATTATTTTAATTAGTTACCAACAAATATGAGCTAAAAATAAAACGCTTCCTAAATAAATGGTTTTTCAATTTGATTTCTTTTCCTGAAAAACATTTCTAACCTTTATTTTTACCTGTTATCCTTAAATTTCATCCATTTCCTTTTGTAATTGGAACTAAAACATTAAAATATTTCTTTTCTAAACCTCAACATTTTGAAGCAACTTAAAGCAACAAATGCACACATAAAGACATTCACACAAAAGTTTCTTAACACTCAACCTGAAATAAACCATCCTGAGAAGAAAATTTATAAAATCTTTAAAATCTATATTTCAAGTTAATAAATAATAAGTTATTAAATTAATAAAGTTAAAGTTATAAGTTAATAAATAAATATAAATTACAAATTATTACAACCTCAGACTTGTATTCCTCTCCTTCCACATTGTGAGTGAAAAGAAATTAATTGATTTCCACGGGTTTCAATTGATTATATAATTAGTGTCTACATAGATATACACATAATTTAATTACAATTTAGTAGAAAGGTTAAGTATTAAATCAAACCAAGCAAACCACAGTTAAATATATAAAAGAATTCTTCCTGTTGTATTTGGTTGAGTTATTGTCTGAGTCAATAAATTTAGGGATATAAAGTCTGATCCTGTAATTCCAAGCTAACAAAACATAACAGTTAAATGATATAGAATATATTTATATGAAAAATAGAATATTTATAGCAGATAGAAATATTTAAATGAAATAAAAGGAAATTTTAAAAGTGAAAAAAAAAGGAGGATTCTGTGAAGGGAAATTCCTGGAGTGATAGAGTGGGAGGCTGGAGATGGAAAAATGGAAATATTGAAGCAGCGCCTGGGCAGGTTCCACAACTCCAGAGCTGCAAATGCTGCTCCTGATGGAGGCAGCCACTCATAAAATATGATTTAAAATTCCCTCTTTAGCTGGGGAATGACAGAATTAACAGGGTAAACAAAACCCACAATTAAAAACCAAAATCACAGATTTTATCTCCGTAATTCCCAATCAATAAAGACAGATCCTCTCACTCAAAAATGAAAGGGGCAGGAAGTCAACACAAACTTTTTGAGAATTATTTGCTTAAATTAAAATTGCTGCCACCTCATCCACATCTCCTCCCCATCCAGGAACTGGTTTTACTCTTCAAATCTTTATTTTTTAAATCTTTATTCCTCAAATCTTTATTCTTTAAATCTTAATTCTTCTAAACTTTATTCTTCAAATCTTAATTCTTCTAAACTTTATTATTCAAATCTTTATGATTCAAATCTTGATGATTCAAATCTTTATGATTCAAATCTTGACCAGCTAATTTGGGGGAGAATTGATCCAGCACGGAGCACCCTCAGTTGGCCAAGACCTGCAAAGTGCCTGAAGTTCTCTCATCAAAATGCACCCAAATGAAGAGAGGTGGCTTTTAATGAGGGGTTATTTTAATCAAGAAGAGGAAGGACATAATTGATACCTGCACACAACATCACTGAGACATAATTACACCGAGAGGTGATGAAATGCATCGTTAAAATTCAAATTCTTCTAAGCTTTTTGACAGATGAAAGTGGAATTTTACCGAGGATGGAGTCCACCCTCCTTACAAATTCTCATCAAATCCCAAATGAAGTCCTTGAATTCTTAGATCGCTCAGAAGAGGAATTAATTGCAAGAGAACCAGGACAAAAATTGGCATAATATGATCAGAAAAGGAATAAATAATGTTGGGCAATAAATACTAAAAGGCCTTTTAAAGCAGTACATTTTTAAGATGAAATCTGAGAGAATATATTTATGGTTGGGCCACAATAATAGTGAAATGGAAACATTTTTCATTGAGCTATATTTTCACTGTGAACTAATAATGAAAAAAAAAATCCTTATGTTTTAATCAAAACACGCTTTTTATGGCTATTTGGATTTATTTCTGTACATGTGGACATAAACATGAGTAAGGTTCCTTTCCCACAATGGGTGTGCAAATCACTTCAATTCCTACACTCTTCTTCCCTATCTGCAAAGCAACTTCATAAATAAATGTTCTCTCTCTCTCATGCTTGAAATATTTCACCCACCAAAAGACTGCATTATAATTTTTAATAAAGGCTTAAGGTGAAGATTGTTAAAAGCAATCAATTCCTGGGAGCAGAACGAGCTCAGAGTTTCCTGGATGCTCTCAAGTCCCAAAGAGCAGAGACATCTCCTTCACCCTGGCCAGATGCTTTTGTCAAATGTCACAATGGCAAATTAATGGGATCGCCACAATTAATTATCCCCGCGGTCCTATTGAAAACAGACGCGTGCTGCCAATCAAGGGGAGCTGTCAGCGCCATAATGAGGAGTTAATTACCCCAAAAGGCTGTCAAGGCTTTGGATTTCCTTTGTTCCAGCAGAACAAAGGGTTGGAGTTTCCCTCAGAAAGGGAGCAGCAGCAAGTCCAGAAGTGATAATTAATCTGTAACATGGAATGGATGCAAAGAATGGATCCGAGGAGGGGAAATCCCTCGCAGCTCTCCCTAAAGCCAGCCCTAAATTCTGCTGCTGGAACCATCTCAACAGCAGCAGGGGATGAAGATTTGATAGGAGGGAGAAATCAGAGCATTAAATTCTTCTCACAAAGCCTCAGTTCAGTCATATCTACCCCTATTCTTTTATTATTCGACTGAAATCAGAAAAGGGGAAGCATTTTGAAAATATATGGTTGCCCCCTGTGTCTGAGACATGAGGTTGATATTCAGGGGTCAGCAGCGCAGCTTCTACCTCAAACCTGCCATAAATCACTGAAAACAACAACAACAAAAAGATTGTGTAGCTTCTTCCAGTCCTTCCTCCTCTTCTCTTACAGCAAGAGCCCTGCACTGCTTTGCTCTCCTCAACTCTTCATGCCCAGAACAGAGAAACAAGCAGTAAAATCAGCAATGTGCTCCCCTCTGATCTGAAGGAGCAAATGTTTGAAAAGTTCTGTAGTGAGTCTACAGCTCAGCTGCTTTGCATCACACTTGGGTGAAAAGAAAGAAATAA